TGTGTGTGTGTGTGTGTGTCATGATGCAGTGGAATCAGGTGCTCATCAATTATTGGCATATGGAGTCATTGGTATCCTCCTAAAGCCTGTTTATTTACCTTGCTTTTGGTGAAAAAAGTATCCATTTATTTTGAATAGAAGTCGAGATATTTGCGATGTAAAGAGATGGGGGTCCCCTGGTTTGAAAGGTAAAATCAGCGAGAAAATGGCCCCCCAAGTTTAGTTACTTCCATAGCTTGAGAGTTATTGAAAACTGAAAACTCACATTTTTTGGTGCCTTTAATCAACCTTTTTTTCTCTCTCAGTATAATCAACACAGAAATGTGTTTTTAAATGGACATAAAAGGTGTAACCCCCCCCCCCCAACCAAAAAAAAAGAAGAAGAAAATTCGAAAAAATATTGCCCATATATTATGTGTAGTACGTTGATACCAGCTGACGACTGGCACGATCAGCCAGCAAGCTAACTCTTTTTATGGATCTTGGAGAGCAGGGAGGGGCAGCTGTGGCATTGCACCGCCTGAGATGATACCTATTACCAAGTCAAGTAACCAATTAAGTTATAATACGCTTATATATATATATATATATATATATATATATATATATAAATTAGTCGAATCTGCCCTAATGACCACCTGTCCAGGACTATTATCACCTGTACAAACGACAGTTTTAAAACGTCCACCTTACTAAGACGGACATTTTTTAAATCGACGACGGTATTGTTATCCCCAGCAAAGGTATGTACAGAAAGATAATTATAAAGACTTAATAAATCATGATACTAATAAGCTCTCATTTATAATACAATGCTTAGATGTTTATTTTACGGTGACTGTTTGCTGGTTTTGACATAACAGCAACAAACGGGTTCTTCTTCCATAGTTGTCCAAGTCATTTCGCTTCCTCAGACTTACAAAGTTTTATCTGGCCATTAGGGCCGTTTCGACTTACTAAGACCATGAGGTCAGAAGCCAAATTATGTTCTACAAGCTCTTATCAAAATCCTATGATTATCTAGAGTCATTATCAAGATATTTGAGAGAATTTTATTCGAAAAAGCTTGACCTGATGTGAAACTCAAAATCCTTTACGTCAATTTTCTCAAAACTAGGTACTGTGCAGAGAGAACTTTGTAGATCTAATTCTGAGGTAGTGACTTTGTTCTTCAATATTCTTACAGTTGGTGGAAAGACAGAGGGAAAGAAAAGCAGAGGAAGTCCGAGAACAACAAACCGTCAGCACGCTCTTAAAATATCCCAAGCCCCAAAAGCAGATCTCTGTGTAGCTGAAGAGGTGACAGGAAATAGTAAACAGCTGGAGGAAAGGAGTGGAGCTTGTTGTTGGGTGGTTACATTCTGCTGTGGACGGACAACTCCTTGGAAGAAAGCATACAAGAAAGAAAGAAAGAAAGAAAGAAAAAAAAAAGAAAAAAGAAAGAAAAAAGATAGAAAGAAAAAAAGAAAAAAAAAGAAAAAAGATAGAAAGAAAAAAAGTAAAAAAGAAAGAAAAAAAGATAGAAAAAAAGAAAGAAAAGAAAGAAAAAAAAGCAGGAAAAAAGAACGAAAGAAAGAAAAGAAAACAAAAAAGAAAGAAAAGCTACCTGTCTGCTCCAAAGTTGGGGACTCCGCTGATGAAGATCATACGTCCAGGGTACATACCGCCGGGGATGGCCGTGGTGAAGGGCACTGGCTGGAATAGACGAGGGAAAAAAACGTGGAATGTCAGATTCA